CGCGCCTCAGTGTCCAGTGAGGACAAATGGACCTCGTCCTCCAAGCACGAGCCCCATGCCCGATGTACTGCACAAGCAGCGCAACACCCTCTTAGCAGCCTCCCAGTGCTCTTGCCGGTGTCTCCCGGGCGCAACATAGCGTGCCAGGATTCTAAGAGGGAAGGCAAGGTCAGGTCGAGTGCAGGTCATCAGGTACATGAGGCAGTCCACAAGGTCTGGATATGGGCCACTCGGCTCTACGGACTCGTCCGAAGGTGGAGTTGAGAGCGAGTGACCGGTAGGTAGAGGAGTGGACTGTGGCGAGGACCAAGTGAAGCCGAATCGCTGAAGGACCTGCTGCACCATGTGTGAGTGAGTCAGGGTGATGGTGTGCCGTGCTCTGTCCCGAGTGATCTGCAAGCCAAGGTAACTGCGCAGCTCACCCAGGTCTGTGCACGTGTGTTTCTTCTGTAGCTTCGACTTCACAAGGGCGAGTGCCTCAGTGTCAGTAGTGGCAAAAACCAAGTCGTCGACGTACACGACGATGTAGAACGGCGGCAACGAAGTGTCGGTGCGGAGAAACAACGATGGGTCTACGGTCGAAGGAGCAAACCCTAGTGCCGCAAGTTTCGTCCTCAGTGTGTCATGCCACTCACGAGGCGCATGGCGGAGACCGTAGACTGGCCGCCGGAGGCTGCACTGGTTACCTGCAGGAAACGACCCAGTGAAGCCAGGAGGGCGGCGCAGCCAGATCTCCTCGTGCAGGCTGCCCTGTAAGAAAGCTGTGCTGAAGTCAAGAGAGTGAAGCTCGTAGCCACGCTGAGCGGCAACGTGCAGCAGCACCCGAAGAGTGGTCATCTTTGGGGTAGGGGAGAGGTCTGGAAGAAGTCAACTCCCTGTCGCTAACTAAAGCCTCGTGCAACGTAATGAGCCTTGAAGGCAGGCGGAGAACCCGGCGGCCGCTTCACCCTGAAAATCCACATGTCATCGACTATGTTCGCCCTAGGAGGGGGAACTGCGTCGACGTAAGTGCCTGTGGACTTCCAAGATGCCATCTAAGAGCGCGGGGTCGGGATGTCTGGTGCATCTGGGTCTCCCTCAGGGGCAAGCAGCATGGCCACGAGATGAGATACAGCGGCTGCAAGACACTCAAAGTCCTCAAGGACGTCCGTGCCAAGAGCGCACTCACCCTCGACGGACGGAGGACAGACTGTCTCATACTCAGCAACAAGACTAGTGGCGTAGTCGAGACGTCAAGCAGCAGCAAAGTCAACAAGCTCAGCGACTAAGGCAGATGCAGCAGTGGACTCAAACGAAGGGTCGATGACAACAGTGGCTAAGAGATGCGTGACAGTAGGGCTGGCAGCACGAACCAGGTCAGATTCAGGGTCAGGGACGTGCGGAAGAGAGGACGCAAGAGAAGACGGCAGGGCGTGCGTGGGGCAGCGCGACACGGGGCAGGGCAGGGCGTGCGCGGGGCAGCGCGACACGGGGCAGGGCAGGGTGTGCGCGGGGCATCGCGACACGGGGTAGGGCAGGGCGTGCGCGGGGCAGCGCGACGCGGGGCAGGGCAGGGCGTACACGGGCAGTGTGACGCAAGGCAGGGCAGGGCGTGGGGTAACGCGGTAATCGTAGTCGGTCACTAGGTAATGGTGGGCCCGAAAAAAAATGGTCCTACGGACCTACTGCTCTGAAACCATGTCAGAAACTATCAGGCACGAATAATTGAATTGAGCAGAATGTGGGTACATGTGCTAATGCTAAATTGGATTGTACCCTATATGGGCTACCCCACTACAGCCTCTACAGCACATACATGATTACAGTTTGACACAGACATGCAATGGAATTTCGTCTTAAATAACAGACCAGTGAAAAGTTCCCGTCTGAACATCAGACGAAACGGATTTTTGGGTTTAGGCTTTTAGACAGGCCAAAATCCTAGCGAGAGCCCTGGTCGTATATCACTGATCTACACCATATGTCAGAATCCCAACAACTAGACCATTGGGATAAAGGGGCTTGTTAAGTAGCGGGTGAGTGCGCACATACCGTATTCTCCCGGATAAAACACCCCCCCGTAATTGTACACCCCCGGGTAGCTTGTGCGGGGTGGGTGTTATGATAGGCCTCGTTTCTAATATACCCCCCTTTTTGGCTGATTTTCTATAACACCCCCCTTTTCTTACGAATTCGTTATTATAGTCGTTAACAAGAAGCTGTAATACGGAAGAATATCGCGAAAATTTCTCCCCGGATGAAATTTCGTGGTACATTCACTTACAATCTACCGAGATTTCCCCCCTCCCACTACTTCGTTGTCGCCACGTGCAGGCGAATCTTCTGCTGCAAGTGGCAAGAGAGGTGCCACATGGCATTTTCGTGGAGGTGATGAAGTTCGTGGCCGAAACTCACATTCGTGCGTCAGACAGTGATGTTAAACTGAAAATCAAAACACCCACATTGTCTAATTAAATAAACACTAACACTAAAATATGCCATATGTAAAGACCCGGGTATTAGTACCGTCATACCCCGGATATAAGCGCCACCCGCGGATAAGCGTCTGGCGCTTTTAATTGGCGTGTGGCGTTTATATCCGGTGCTAGATTATAAGCGCATACCTAAAAGTCTTACGGATTATAACCGCATACCTGTGCCTTACATTTTATAACCGCCACCCAGTTTTTTTCTTTTTTTTTTTTCATTTGAAGACCTTTTACATAATTAGTCTACTAAAACATCATGTTAATTACTCTACAACTAGTTAATCTACTCCTACCTACGAGCCTCACACAGGCTTCACCATTTTCTACACTAGTTAATCTACCCTACTCTAATCATCAGCTGCAGTGGGGTCATCCGGGTCGGCCTCAGAGTCCGACTCAGGTTCTTCTACGTTGTTGCAGAAGAAACCGTCTGCTGCAATTTCATCATCCATGTCGACCTCCTCGCCCTCGAGCTCGCCTCGCCTGTGTTGCAGGCAGAGCTTGTCCTGGGACCCATCCAGGGCGTTGCTGATGCCGCAGGTGAGGAACGCCCGTTGAATGAGCTCCTTGGGCACGGACTTCCAGGCCGCCGAGATCCACTTGAGCGTCAGCTCGACAGGAGGCTTCTTGATGGTGCCTGCCACGCAAATCCAGAAACCGGGTCAGCACGGGTTAAAGAAATAAAAACATAAACAGAAGAGCTGCACCTCTCACCTTTCTTCGTCAAGGTGTCGACCCCCTCACGCTCAAACCACTCCTAGTAGAGCTGGCGAACGGCGGCCTTGAAGGAGCGATTAACTGCGACGTCGAGGGGTTGAATCTCCGAGGTGCAGCCAGCAGGGATAACCGCAGGGACCAGGTTCAGCTCGCCAAACTTCTTCTTCACCTCCGGGGTCAGGTGCCCGCGGTACGAATCGAGGACAAGCAGAGCTTTGCGGGGGCGGACTCCGAATTTGGAGTTGATGTACGGCTTCACCGCCCCGTCCAGCCACTCGACGACACCATCCGCGTCCATCCACCCGTTGGGATGGACCCCCACGTGGATATCTGCACAGCAACAAAACCACGATGTTAGTTAAATATATTAACTGACATCGACATGCCACCGCGTAATCGACGCGTGGTGCATACCTGAAGGGAAATCTCCTTTGGGGACGGTCTTCCTTTTGAAGAAGACCCACGGCTTCAACTTCTCCCCGCTGACGGTGCAGGCGAGCATCACTGTAACCCGCTCTTTCTGGTAGCCGCCGCTGCGGACGGGCACGGAGCGCAAGCCAACCTCTTCAACGGTGCGTTCGGATGGCATCTCGAGCCAGAGGGGCGTTTGGTCCGCATTTAGAATCCACGGCAGGTCGATCTTGTACTGCCGGCGGGAGTGACGCACGTACGTCCAAAAGTTCTTGACACCAGTCTCGCAGTCTGGGACACGGGATGGGAGGAACAGAAAGCACAAATACAGAGTGAGAGCCGTGAATAGACGGAAACAGACAAACAACAATACCACCAAATAAGAACTCACTGGACGAGAGCTTCTGGCCGACCCGGGTCTTCGCTCTGGTCGTCAGGTTCCAGCGACGGCGAAAGCGCTGAGTACACCGCTGAGAGCCGGCCCACTTTTCACCTGGGTGTAACTCTTTCATCACCTCGTGCGACCACTTCTGCAGTCATGCGATCGAGATGGCGAGGCACTTCTTGCGGTGGGCGAGAAACCTCCGGTACACGTCATGGGGAGACTTTTCGTAAAAAATGGGGGGGGATTTATCCTATGCGGTATGTAGTTTTTTTCCTATGAGGTGACACCCCCCATTTTTCCATGTATTTTTAGCTATACATAGGGTGTTATGTCCGGGAGAATACGGTAACCTCCCAGGACAACGAGCCTGTAACCCTTCCCTATGATCAATCGGGGGTCACCAGTGGACCTCTGACACCCTAAACCCTAAACCCTAAACCCGAAACCCTTAAATCCTTGGAAGGACCCTGACGCTCACCATTGCCCTGTTCTTTCAAAGCCATAGGTGGACAGAGGACAATGAATCCTGTCCTTGGAATTGCTCCAAAAGAATGCCAATCAACTTCAAAATCTTTGTGCCTCTTGTCGGCAGAAGCAGCACATATCTTCGACGTAGGACACTCGTGATGGGGAAAACAAAGTTAAAAACCAACCATAGCTGCGCTTTGTGGCGGCTGAATGGCTCAGAGCTTCATGTCAGCGACAGCAGCGCAGAACCTGGCAGCCTCGGGGGAGAGCAGCGAGGCAGGAAGCATGCGGCAGAACTCCGCAGGAGACAGCTCCCGCACCTCAGGCTCAGGCTCGGGTGGCGGAGCCACGGGCTGCAGGTACGGCGCGGGCAGAGATGAAGAAACGGAGGCACACATTAAGGTGGGTGTGGTGGTAATGATGCGATGGGATGAGGAAGGACGGGGGAGGAGACAGGGATTGCAGGTGCTCGAAGAGCAAATATCAGCACACATGGGAACACCTTCCGTGCAGTTGGAAATAAGGGAGGGTGGAAGGAGCATGGGACATACCTCAACAGGGGCGGTGATGGCCGGTGGCGGGGAGGAGGGGGCGACAGCAACAGGAGTAGGCATCTGCATGGGCAGGATGAGAGGCAGCACGGCCACGCCTATGCCTGCAACCATCACATTACGCAGGAAGGCAGCCTGCTCCGACAGCCCGTCCGCCTGCTGCTCCTGCCCCCGGTCCGGAGAAAAGAACAGCTCAATCGCCTCCTGAATCGACGGCGCCTCCGAGTCTGCTGCTGTGGCGGACTGAGCGGGCTGGATGGCAGTGGTGCCGCCGGCAGGGGCGTCGGACTGGAAGGGGATGCTGATGCCAGATGAGAAGGGCGTGGCTGTGGCTGTGGCCGTTGCCACTGCTGCTGCTGCGGTGGCGGTGGCGGTGGCGGTGGCGGAGCGAGGAGGGGTGGTGGGTGTAGACGCGAAGTTGGGGGTGGGGTCGCTGGCAGTGCTGTTTGGGGGATGGATTGGGGTTGGAAACAGGGGGGTCAGGGAGGCTTGGATTAGACTCTGGGAGTGGCACAATCCCACACTTGGTATGAGGAAGGAGGAATGAGGTTGAGGAAGTAGAAAGGAGAAGGGAAGATAGATGGAGCAGAATTCTACCAACAAGGCAAAGAGTGCAGGATCAGAGGCACCAGAGGGAAGATGTCACGTGGGATCAGCACAGGAGGATCAGCAGCGTGAGCACCAACAACACCCCCACTCCTTCCACCACCCGCCATGACTCTTGACAGTCTAAATCAACCCAGTCATCCACCCACCCACCCACCCAGCGGCCCAGTAACTGACAGCAGCTTGACGAGCTCGGCCTTGGTGTCGCCCCTGAGCCCCCTCTGCTTCGCCATGGCCCTCAGCTCCGATAGTGGCCGCGCCTGCAGCTCCGCCGACCGCACTGACGCCGCCGCCCGCACCTCCGTCACCCCCGCCGCTGTTGCTGTCGCCGCCGCGCTGGGGAGAGGGGAATGAGGGGAGGGGGGAGAGGGGAGAGGAAGAGGGAGGAATGAGTGGAGGGGAGGGCTGGGTGTGCTGATACAGAAATGAAGGAGAGGAAGGGATAGAGGGAAGAAGAAAAAGGGCAAGGGGAGAGGGAGGGGTAGGGGGGGAGAGGGGAGAAAACAAGGCGCAAGCCAGCTGCTGCCAGTTGGAGATGGGACGGAAACATAGAAACCAGCTGTTCACCCATTGCAGCCCTTCTTCCCTTCTTGTAGCCCCACTGTTTTCGCTAATCCCCGCTTCCCATCACCCTCCCCCTCCCACTCCCTTCCCTCTCCCCATACCCATCCGCATACTTCGTGCGCCCCGGACTCACATGAGCGCGCGCACGAGCTGGTCCTTGCTGGAAACGGCGGGCGAGATGCCCTTGGCGGAAGCCATGGCGCGCAGCGCGGACAGCGGCCGCGCCTGCAGCTGCCGTGACAGCGCCTGCGGGTTCACGGCGGCAGCCGCGGGAGCGGACGGGGAGGCGGGTGCGGGTGCGGGTGCGGGCGCGGACGGGGCGGCGGGGGCAGGAGGTGGGGAGGAAGCGGACGGTGCTGCGATTGGGACTTTGTAGGAGGAGGGTCGGGATGACGTGCCACTGGTTCGTTGGGGATGCACGGGAAACGAGGGAAGGGGCGGGGGGTGAGGGCGAAGAGAAATGAGTCCAGGAGCACAAATTCGTACTGGACATGTCGGAAAACGCGTTAATGGGACTCAGGAATGTGGGGGCGAGTTGAAGCCCTTGATTCCCATAACAACTGGATGGATTGGGCACGCACGGCACAGAAATGGCTGAGGGAAGGATTTGGAATCGACTCAAGGACACAAGCACAACATAGCAACGCGCGTCCTACTAAAATCCCGCACGGCTCTCACGAAGTCACTCACGGCCCGTTGTCCCCGTGTACCCAGGGTCCAATCCCTCGTTCCCCCATCACCCCGCCCAACCCTCCCTTCCCCATTCCCGCCCCTTCAACCCTTCCCCCACACCCTCCCCCGCCTCCCGGGGCTCACAGCAGCGCGGAGATGAGTTCGTCCTTGGTGTTGCCGCGCAGCCCCTTTTGCCGCGCCATTGCGCGCAGCTGCCCCATCGGCATCGACTCCAGCTGCCGCGCCAACGCGTTGCTGCCGCCCGCGGGGGCAGCGGCGGACGGCGCGGCGGAGTACTGCGCAGCAGGGGCCGGCGGGGGCGCGGCGGCCGGTGCAGCGGGCGCGGCGGCAGGCGCACCTGACGCGGCACTGAGGCGGAAGGCCAGGGGGAAGAGGAGGAGGGAGGGGAGGGGAAGGTTAGTCGTTCCGCGTGTGCAGTACCACGGTTGCCACGTAGTCACTTCGCTCACCAAACGACGCACGAGGAGGTGACGATTTCATCACAGGAGCACAGGGCTTGCAGTCGGGCCACTCACAGGAGCGCCGCGACGAGCTCCGCCTTGGTGTTGCCGAAGATGCCTCGGCTCCGCGCCATGGCGCGCAGCTGCGCCAGCGGCATCGCCTCCAGCTGCCGCGCCTGCGCCGACTGAGTCGCCCCCTGCGCTGCGGATGGGGCCGCTGCGGTTACTGGCGCGGCGGGCGTGGCGCCGAATGCGCCGTTCGTTCCACTGCAATCGGGGGAAGCGATTGGGGAAGGCGGGATGAGAGAAACGATATGATTAAGGCAAGTACGAAGGGACCGGGGAAAGGAGCGGGGAGAGAGAGAGGGACTGCGCAACGGCAAGCCATGGAATTGGACCTGCTCTCACGGCGGAGGCACCGCTGACTTGCAACGCTTTCGCGCACGCGCTACCGGGTGTCGCGTCGCGACGACAGCACCGACTGCTGCCCGGACGCCGTTGAATCAGCGTGCGGTGCCACTGCTAGCTACCCGCACTCGCACGATAGAGAGAGAAGCAGTGAGGCTTGCCTGCTGAGCATTTTCACGAGCTCCGCCTTGGTGTCGCCGCGCAGCCCCCGCTGGCGCGCCAGCGCGCGCAGCTCCCCCAGCGACTTGCTCTCCAGCACCCGCGTGTCCAGCGACGCGCGCACGGCCGCTGTGGCGGAGAGGGCGCGCGGCGCCACGGGCATTGTGTGTGCCAGCTGAGGGGGGGAGGAATCGGCACGGCGGGAGGCAAGGGCGGCGAGGGAAACAACAAGTTGGGAAACGAAGAGCTTTAGTGAATGTCACGTTTCAGCATTTAGGCGGCACGAAGAGACGGCCAATCAAAACTTGGAGTACAGTGCGAAGTTGAGCGAGGCAATGCCGACCCTGACGGGACACTCACCGTGGAAAACGCGTTGACAGCCATGGCAGTCGAGGCGAGGTACGAAACGGGGAAACGGAGGTTGGCTGATTACTGCGTGCAGAGCTCCGACAGGCTGGCCTTGAACATAGGAAGGCAGTGTGAAAAGCCTTTAGTGGTTGCACAGAGGCACGTGCTGTTGCTGTGGAAAAAGGTCAGTGGAACAGGTGCGGAGCTACACCTGATAGAGAATCTTGCCACAAACACGGCCATGGGGGGAATGGGGGAGATGGTTGGAGGAACACGCAGCACACCCATGCTTGTTGGAGGCTCAAACTCGTCGCACACCACATGGTCGTATGAATCGTCCACGGGAGAACATTGTCCAGAAAATTGAGTCGTCGAGTCGAACCCACAGCCTCAGACGACGGTGCGCGACGCCACGTAACAAGATCAGCTTTGCCTAGTCGCAAGGAATTCAGGTGTTTGGAAACGGAGGGCGGGCGATCTGACAGACTACGGGGAGAATCACTTTGAAAGGAGAGCAGTTGACACAGACAATCACCACAAATCCTAGCGTGCCACATCACCATCTACTATTCAAACAGATGGACCCAGTGAACACCAAACGGGAATCATCCGCATCTTTTGCAACAAGGTCCGATATAAAATTTATAATATGGTCGTAACCGCCAACTGTAAATTATGCAGATTGTAAGAAAACACACATCTTGCATCAAAAGGGTTTACTGTTTTCCATGCAACCCAACTCTCAGAAGACCTTGTCTCGTGTCACTTTCGTTTTCCCCGCCCAGCATGCACCCAACATCTTGTTCTCTAGGTTCTCGCATAGCTAGGAGGAACACGGCGATAGCTCTTGCTTCACCAGCTACAGGTGCACCGCCCAACTCGGTCTTGCCGCCAAACTCCTAAACTAGGCGAATCAGCTCATCCGGTACCAAGGTATTGCAGAATTGGGCAAATGCCTTCTGATTCCTCCTCTCCCACTTCAGTCGTGCATCACCCAATACATGTCGCTCCTCCGATCCATCAAAGTACCATCCATAGATTGTGCGCCTCTGCCCATCGTTCGAATCGGAAGCTCCAAGTCCAGTAGTCACTCCCATCAAACTTTGGCGCACTCTCCAGCTTCCCATTGCCCAAGTGATGATCAATTTGCGGCAGCGACACCGACGATTGAAGTTGAGGTGGTAGCGGAGGCGATGGCGGCGGCGGTGAAGACGACATGGGCAGATTCACCCCTTCTTGGGTTTTGGAGTGTAACTCCGCACTCGAACGTCTGAATGATGAGCCGTTTGATTCAGCCGAATCATCGTTCCGAGACCGTTCCAATTATGTATTGCACTCCTGAATCCCGCAACCCGGTTGTCCGTTTAAACTCATCGAAGTTGGCAGATTTTCCGTCAACGAAGACTCGACCGTGTCTCCCTATTCTCGGCTTGTTGAATGCGCCCCGACCTCCTCTCTTGGCGTGCGACCTCCAATCCCCTTTCCGCACTTCAAACTTTCTCTGATTCTCGATTTTCCAGGTTGGCTGCCGACTGAATTTCGCGAATTGCGTCCGATCTGCTCGTCAATTGGTGATGATGCCGGGGCAACTGTTGTAGATCGTGTCGAAACCTTTCCAACGATATGCTGCACTGATCGACGAATTTCGACCGAGCCGCTCCGTGGGTGGATGTCGCTCTTCTCGTCCTCCCAAACAGATCCACATGATTTCCAGCGGCTTTCTTCTCTCCTCCCCCTCCCTTGTCCAGAGTCCGACATGATGCAATTTCGACAGCCCTTCAGGAGGGATCAAGGCTATTTAGCTTCCACCAAGGTAATATGGTCCAATCCCTTGTGTAGCTTCCTATTCCAACAGATTGCTAGGCCTTCCTAGCTCTGAGATCATGATAGCTTTGTCTAAAATACTATCGGAAGCTACAGTAGTCTTATAACCTCCTTCTGAAGCCTAGGAGTCTTAGGAGCCAACTTGGGCATGAACCATGCTAGAACCATGAGAGTTTTCAAGGAACGTGTCCCGACAAAAAAGAACCTTAAGGGCGTGTGTCCTTGGCGGGCTGAGTTCGAACCTTTGGTGGTAACGTGCTTTGTTAATCTTGCCATGCTGGGTTGTGACTTTCGTCAAAATAGGTAAGAAAGAAGGAACCAAATATGGACACTGAACTAGAGTCGAGTTTCCGTTCGAACGTGCGCCCGCACGTTCATGCAAGCGTTTGCAGCTGTAACGAATTCGGCAACTATTGGAATAACTGAAAAGGTTATGGAAACATTCCCGAAGGCTCTCCACTCTCACGTCACTCCATAACGAAGCAACGAGACTGTATAAGTATCGCAATAGCTCATATAGAGCATGCAGAAGACCAAGGGTCACCCGAAGGTCAACAAACGAAGACAGTTAACGGTCGTGGCCCTTGACTGCCCAGTAACCGCACGCGGCAGTTACAAGATGCAACGTGGTAACTGTCAAGAATGGCAATAGTTGTGGTTACTGTAGCAATGTAATTCAGTTAATAAGGGAATGTACCCCTCAGAGTACATGGCTAGCTAGGATTGCTATTTATATTCCTGTACTTCCGTGTTATAATTATCTTGTTCTTCAACTTTATCAACAAGGTCATTACAGAGACTTCATGGTTCTCTCACATGCTTAACAGTCTTATCCTATCCACTACGATCCTTCAGTTATAACAACTTGGTATGAGAGCTAGAGTGGATTATAAGGCCTACTAAGCTCTTGTCCTTACTAGAACAACCTCTTAATAAATTACTCGTTACATCATTACAAACTCTGCACTACTATGGCTCCAGAAGGAAAAGCCACTGCAGATTCTCTGGGCCCACCACCAGCAATACCTACTGCACCATCAGCGGTGACCTCCGTCACCGCCGCTCTCGTTAAGCAGCTGGTCGCCCGCATCAATGCTCTTGAGAGCCATCAAGCAATGAGCATCGATGGCTCGAGCTATGCACGCGGAGTTGCTGGACTCCCTCTCCCTGGAGAAGACCGCTGTGTCAACTTTGAGAGGTCTTTTACCTTTGACAACCGTCAAGCTTCAGCTCCTGCGCAAGATAGTCAACAACGCGCATATTCAGACACAATCGCAACAATGCAGACAAAGTTTGTTTTAACCTCGAAGCTGAAAACATCAGTTCCCTTCGACAGAAAAGACTTCTACACGTGGAGCTTCGAGTTCGAGCTCCTCGCGACAACTGCAAATCTGGATGTACTACGATGGAAGCTTACCGTTTCCGACAGAAGGCACCATCCAAGAGAAGAACCAATATTACCACGAGTCTCTTCTCGCGTACACCACTCTTCTTTGAAACCTCTCCCCTTTCGAGCAACTTGGCATTCACTCCTACAAGTCAGAATGGGCGCCCGCGTACGCCTCTTGGGAGCACCTGCGCAACTCATACATGGCAACAGATCCTATCACAATGAGTCGCCTGCTTAGCCGACTGACATCGGTCAAAATGCAACAAGGGGAGAAAGCGGGACCATATATCAACCAGTGCCGCAATCTGCGCGACCACATCAAGAAGTGCGGCGGAACCGTTCCCGACGACATGTTCGTCTCCATGGTTCTTTTAGGCCTTGGACGCGATTGGCGACCGTGCCAGTCGTTGCTCCGTGCTCGAGCAACCATCTCCGAGTCCGCCTTGTGCACCACGCTTCTCTCCGAGCAGAAGGAAATCGATCTGTACAACAAGAAAAACAGCAAGCGAGAGAAGTTAGTCTTCTACGCTGGAGCGATTGAAGGGGAGCAGCGTGGAAAGAAGGGAACATTCTGCAAATACTGCAGGAAACCCGGCCACGCTATCGATCAGTGCTACAAGCAGAAAGCTGCCGACGAGAGGCGCAACTCCTCCAGTCAGCAATCCACGGCACAATCGACATCTTTTGCCGCGATATCCACCATGTCGCCTCCCTCCGTTGCAAGCACTTCTCAAACTCCTGCACACATCACAGCGAAGGACAAAGGCAAGGGAATGATCATGAGCTGCATGGCACGGCGTCGCAGAGGCATTCGATATTACGACAATGTCGAGTATCCGCCTATCGCACCTATCAACTCCATTGCACCTAGTGCAGACAGTGATCCCACCATCCACAGCTGGATCGATCATCCAACAAACATTTCACCTAATTTCAAGCTGCTTTCGCCAACTCCGGAATCACCTCCCAGCATTTCCGCGAACAGGTTCTTCGCTCTCTCACCATACACCGGTGACTTCGACCGCGTTGTCATGCCGAAAATCACCAACATCGCGCGCCTGAGTCGTGAGAGCATCAATACATGGTACCTTGACAGCTGCTGTGGACAACACATGGTGGGATCACCAACGTTCATCAGCAACTCACGTCGCATGCGTCGGTCATGCGAAATTACCGTCGCCAACAATATCAGGATGAAGGCGTACGACATCGGTGAAATTTACCTTGAAGCTGATGACACGAAGTTCACCATCCACATCGGAGATGTACTCGTCACCCTAGATCTGCGGTATAACGTGCTCTCCTCGGCACAACTCATGCGGTGCGGAGTCGACATTCGCAGCAACTGCAAAGACAAGGCCTTTGAGCTCTTCTACAACCACTCTTACATCGGCAAGGCGATTGACGATGACGGAGTCTTCGTACTGTTCTCGGCTCAGGGCACCACTAGAGATTCTGACCGCACTCTGCTGCTAAAAACAACTCCTTCGGAGCCGCCAACGTTGTCGCATCCCACGGAAATGGACCTCGAGCGACCTGCTTCTGACGGTCTTCTGCTACTGCGCACCGTCCCGACTGCCTCGACCTCCAACTCTGCTGAG